GTATGTATGTACGAGTATGTAGCTAGCTGGCCATTCATTCATTCATAAAAATCGCAGCAGCAACATCAACGAGCCATCGGCATTGTAGTCAAGATTTATTTATTTGGCGGCAAGCGCGTAAAAGGAGCCAACAGCACAGCAACAACATCAGAAGTAGCAACAGCAACAGCAGCAGCAGCAGCAGCAAAATGCAGCAGCAACATGTTTATAGGCCGCCACACAGTCGGCAACATTTTGCGGTTGTCTTATTTCTTTTGGCCAAGGCAACAATTACAATGGCCAGAAAGCCGCAGCAAAAAAGCCACAAGCAACTATGCCACGTTGTTGCTGAATGAATGAATGAATGAATTACTTTTTTCCGTTCCGTTGTGGCAGCAACATCAGCAGCTGAGACTGATTGTGGTCGGTATTGGGTATATGGAGTTGGGTATTGGGCATGGGGATGAGGATGAGGATGTGGATGTGGTTAGTGGATGTCCGTGTGCGTAGACGTTCATTAATTGTGACGATCAACAAGCTACGCAAAAATCAAGCAGCAACAAAAAGGGGAAGTTGCTGATGTTGTTTGTTGCTGCTTCAGCTGCAATTGGCTGCCACGCAGAGAAACCAGTTTCCCAGCTATACCCTGAACAATCCTTGACAAACAACAGGAGTACTCCGCTTTCGCAATGAGCTTTGGCTGGAGCATACAAAAATATTGTTCCGATTTTCTAAGAATTAATATTATATCAAGTACACTTTGTAGCTATATATTTTATTGTAAAATCAAACAGTGATTTATAAAACTCATTTTTTTAAATGTTAATGTTTAGGGACTACACTTTTCCACCATTTGCCAGATTATTAGTGGCTTACAACAAATTCGAAGGGTATCCAAAGTACTTTAGCACCCGCTTTGGTTAACATTCTTATAATTTTTCTGCTGTTGTCTGTTGGCTTTTGCCCGCTTCCTTTTGGAATTTCTGCTGTTTTATGAATGAAAATGTTTTTTCCCTGCTTGTTTGCGGTTGGGGCATGCTTCCGTTAAGGCAGTCCAGAGAAAAAAACGAGAGAAAAACAGGCAGGCAGGCAGGCAAAAGTGGCACGGTCAGTCTGCGTGCCCCGGGCAATTCCTGGACTTGTCTATGCCTATGCAAAGTATTATTATATACATATATAAATTCACCGCATTTTTTTGAAGAGCCGGCCGTACACAAATCTTTTCTACTTCCGGCTCGGGATGAATCTCTCTAAGAGCTCGCGCTGGCCTGAGAGTTTTCACTGGAATTCTATGGGACTTGGACCCATAGAATCGGGCTTGGAATCGGAAGACGACAGATAGTGACCTAACAACTTCCGTGTTACTTCCGCTTCTTCGGCCCCATCTTCCACTTCCGTTTCTAACAATTTTAATTGAATTTTCGTGTAAACACACTGACTTAGGCAATATATATATAATATACGTATATATACTTATATATCTTGGCCAGAAACTGCGATACAAACCAATTCTGAGCCGGCATACTTCCGCTTACTTCGGCCACATGACGACGCCAGATTGCATAATTCTCCAGCCCAAAAAACAACTGAGAGAGAAGAATAACCCAAAATCGAGTAGGAGTATGAGTATGGGTGGGGGAACCAGAGAAAAAACAATGTGGAAAAGGAAGTGTATAGAAAAATCATTAACGCACAGACAAAAGATAACAGAGGGTGCAGGGGATAGGATATAGCGGAGACTACCTGATGGAAACACACTTGTGGCAGGCGGCAGGCTGCTGTCATCCATCCGTCTCGTCTAACGGTTGGAAAATCGGAAAAATGTGAAAAATCGGAAAATCTCCGGCCCGGACGTTGATCGTCGTGTGTGCGTCAACGCCCTCATGGGAACCAAAAACCCACGAAAGAATTACGGGGCGGCGGGGGAACTCAGCTAACTCAACCAACTGTTGCTGCACCGGGAAAACAACCCAGACATCTTCCATTTGTTGTGTGGAAATTTATGTCATTGATTGTCCTTTAGTTAGGCTGTTATTGATAGCACACCAGATGGGGCGAGAATGCGCAACACAATGCGGAGCAGGTGCAGTCGATCCTTATTTTGGCCTTGTTTTGCCAAAGTCATAGTCAGGTTATCCTGAAAGCAGCATCCTCCGAACGCAGGTGAACTAAAAATGGATTCAAATCCATTCAAATCCATACTGAAATCCCTATTAAATTAATGTAGTCTGTTTTAAGAACTGCGCTTTAAAGTGTCATTAACATTTTCAAACAAAGATCCGCAAAGATCATTCCTAAAACGATTTAAGTCGGAGGGACTTACTCCAAGCTGGCACCACTGCCTCGTGCAATTGAAGACACCTCACTTCCGCTGCGTGGAATGGCATTCCCGGCATTCAGGCAGCCACATGAGGCATGACAGCAATGACGCTAGAAGTAGCTCCAAGAATTCCATTGTGGGGAGACCCCCTGACAGCCGAGCCCCTCCCCCTCGACCCATTCACCCCCTTCTGGAGGTTGTGAGCGGGGTTAATTTGATTCAATTAAAGAGATGGAATGGGTGAAGGGTTCCCTTTTTGCAGGCGGCTTTCATTGAAATCAAAAGTCACAAAAGTTTGTCAATGCTTGCGGCATCACGTTGCACTGCGTCCAGCTGCTGGAGGCAAAATTGGAAAAAAAAGCTGTTGGCCTGGGAAATGGGGCCAGCAGAGGGGGCAAAGAGGGAAAACTCTTTCATTGTCTTTGGCGCGTTCTCAACTTCCGTTGGCACTGCACTTTGACACATGAGGCTAATTGTTTGACTGCTCGGGGAGCGGTACTACACGCGTGCTGCTGATGGAGATCGAGCAAATTATAAAGTGTGGCAGCAGCTTGGACGACCCCCTGCCTCCAACTCCCCGCCACACCACCTTCTTTGGGGAGCTGCTAAACCGGAAATCCGGTTGCCTTCTCTCCCTCTTCTCGCCGCCTTTCTTGTGTTTGCTTTTTCCCTCGCTTTTTTGTGTTGGCCTGGCAAAACTTTTACTACTCTTCCAGCTTCTTCGCCAGCACAGAAACTTTCGTCTTGTTTACAAGTTGATTCTATTCGTGCACCAAAAAAAAAAGGGGCAACTAACATTATTTAGGGACTTATAATTTCATAAACTTACAGGTCTTTTTAATTTAGAGTTGTCGAAATGTAGCGCTTAAAATACGTATATAAATTATAATATTTCCTGGCCACTAAAGTAATTCAAAACAGCATCCCATTTTTCTGCGTGCACCTATTGTGAGCTTCTCAGAGATGAGCTGATGGCATTGGAATGCCGATGAAGCATGTCTTCTTTGATATGCTGCCCCGGCCCTGTGATTTGCTTATCAATATGTAAAATGTTATACGAATAACGGTGATGTCTTTGAAGTGCCATTTCCCGACACAACAACAAATCAAGACAAAAATAAAAAACAGAGAGAAAAAATATGCACAGAATGGGGGAAAGAAATCTCAATAAACATGCTCGAATTTCAAAGAATTTCTCACGCTGCTTACCCAACGGATCCCCCTTGAAACTCCACTTCTGGCATATCCTGTCAGGGGTGGATTGACAATGGTCTCGTAGCTCTTCGCCCCTCGAAATCGAAAAAGAATCTCAGCAATGCCCGAAGCTTCTGCTTGAAATATGAATAATCAAAGTGCAAGACAAATTCGCTCGTCGAACGGGTTAAGGACTTCGGCAGGTGCTGCGTTTGAAACTGGGTCAAAACTGCGTGGGAAACGGGGGAGCGAGTGAAAAAGGAAGTTCAGGAAGCAGCATTATAAAAAAATCAGGAAGTAAATACAACTAATAAAGTGTATAAGGAAGGCAGGCAGACGACATCCGGGGGAGAGCGAGACGGAAAACGGCAGGGAATTGTCATAGAGAACTCCGGTTCAATTGAGCAAAAAGGTAAAAGGTCAGGCAACCTGTTCCGGACTCACTTCCGCTTCGTCTACGGCTAATCCCTTTTTGAATGCGCTGCAGTTTAAGTGTGTGCGTGCGAGTGTGAGTGTGCGTGTGCACTCACTTATTTACTTCCGTCAGTTGCACTAAATCACTTCCGGACTTCCGGTATGCGCTCTCCCGAAAAAATAAAGGAAGGACCTCAAGGAATGACCCTAAAGAGCTCAGGTAGCAGCAGGTGCAAGCCAAAGAAACCCGAAAATAATTTGAATAAAAATCAAGAAAAAAGTGGAAAGAGATAGTGGAGCGAGGGAAATGAAATTGAAACCAAACAAAAGGCAAAAACCCTCGACAAAAAGGGATAACAAAGAATGAACAGAAAAAAAAACCAGGGTGCGCGACAGTTCCACTTAAAAAATTGATTGCTTTCGATAATTTCATTGGAAACCTGTTGTTGTCGCTGTTCTCACTGCCAAGCATCACTAACAATAAAATCGAATGATAGAAGGAATCAGGCTCTGGAGTGGCATCCTCGAAAAGCACCCATCAGCTGCTAGTTGTTGGATTTTATGTTACGACCAGGACACAACACAATGCATAAGTTTTTATTGGATGCCAACTTGGGCAAACGCAACAACAGAGTCCAGGATTTTGGGACTCACACTCTGTTTGGGGAATTCAATTAATGATTCGTATTTGTTGGGGAGCAAACAAACAAACAAGACACCAAAGATATCCTCCAGTTAGGACCGACTTTAGTCGGCGCAGTTATGTTAATCAAGTTGCCATCATTGTGTTGACACAATCCTCTGTTACCGAAGGGTTCTTGGCATTCCAGTCTCTGGAAGCTGCCTTTATGGTTTGTTTATCATATGGTAATTTGGCAAATAATCAAGCGGAGCATCAAGAGGGTAATAAAAGGCTTTTAGGGCTTAGCATCAACTGCCAAATATATTAAATTTCTATGATTTTTCAAGTGTTTTAAGGAAATTCATATCCCTCATTAGTATTCATAACTTAGGGAGAGTATTAGACGATTATATTCTTGCTTTGTTGCAAAACTAATGTTTTATTAACATTTTCGATCATTTTCGTTTGAAGGACTCTGAGGAGGATTTGCCCATCTGTGCGCCCAATGCAGTTTGCTCCAAGATCGATCTATACGAAACCCCCTGGATTGAGCGGCAATGTCGTTGTCCCGAATCGAATCGCATGCCCAACAACGTGGTCATCCATCATCACAGTCACTCGTCTGGAGCCGCGGATTCCCTGAAGTACAGGAATTACTACGAAAGGGAGAAGGTGATGCAGCACAAGCGAATGCTGTTGGGCGAATTTCAGGATAAGAAATTCGAAAGCCTGCACATGAAGAAGCTGATGCAGAAGTTGGGCGCCGTCTACGAGGATGATTTGGATCATCTGGATCAGTCGCCGGACTATAATGACGCCCTGCCCTATGCGGAGGTGCAGGACAACGAGTTCCCCAGGGGATCGGCGCACATGAGGCACTCCGGACACCGCGGATCCAAGGAGCCTTCAACCACTTTCATTGGCGGCTGTCCCAGCAGTTTGGGTGTGGAGGATGGCCACACCATTGCCGATAAGACTAGGCACTACAAAATGTGCCAGCCGGTGCATAAGTTGCCAGTTTGCAAGTAAGTTAAAACTACATCCTTAATTTTACGCGAAAGTTTTAGATGCAGTTTTAAATTCAGCTACACAATGTATTTCAAATTGTTCACTGTCTAATTGATACGTTTTTCTTACTCGAAGGCACTTCCGTGACTACACTTGGACTTTGACAACAGCAGCGGAGTTGAATGTGACGGAGCAGATAGTCCACTGCCGGTGTCCCCGGAATTCGGTGACATACCTGACCAAGAGGGAACCCATTGGCGATGGCAGTCCGGGCTACAGATATCTGTTCGCCTGCTCTCCCCTGACGGTGGGTTTGACATGGAATATTTCATTAAGACATGGCTTTAATGTACATTTTCATTTATACAGCGCCTTCGCTGTCAGCGGAAGCAACCGTGCAAATTGTTCACGGTGCGAAAGCGTCAGGAGTTCCTGGACGAGGTCAACATTAACTCGTTGTGCCAGTGCCCCAAAGGACACCGCTGTCCCAGCCATCATACGCAATCCGGCGTGATAGCCGGCGAGAGTTTTGTGGACGACAACATACAGACATATTCCGGGTACTGCATGGCCAACGATTGAGTGCATCGCCAAGGGAATCGTTCCACACATAATATAAAACACACTTTGTAAAGGAAGATAGAGTGAGCGGAGGAGCAACAGCTACTATATATAGATATCGACTGAGCCAATTGAGTCTCGCCAAGTTACCAACTAATGAGAAGGGAAAAACGAACAAATACAAGCTAGGAACTTAAAATGCACTTCCACACAACACACAAATCATTTTCAAGTTTTGAAAGAGCGTGTTTCTTTTGCTACCAAATTTTGGTCATAAAACGTATGATATAAATATTTAATTAGTTTTAAGCATCGATATGTGCGCAGTTTGTTATACAAATAATTTGTAATGAATATTTATGAAAACAAGAGCAAAACCTGCAACGAAGGAGGGCGTACCCTCCACTATGTAATATAGCAACAAACTATACTCGTAATCTAACCCGCATAAATTGTATATATTTTAATATATGTCTAACGAAAACAGTTTCAGTTGTAATTTAAACGGAACCTACGTGGAGCAACACAGCAAACTTCAAAGAGCAGGATGTGCCAAATGTTCAGATGGGGTGCACTTAGTTAACGTAAGGATGTATCATTGAATAATTCATAGCGAGGCAGTTTGAAACTGTGGCAACTCTGGCAGCTATTTTAGTGCAATTTTTGTGACGCCTTTAAAGCCACTTCTCCTGAGTTTGAGCAATGGATTTGGCAAGGAAATTAGAAATTAATTTAGAAATTGCGCAAATGCTTTTAACTAAACGTATAGTAACCACCATGACTCCTCCTCTTCCCTCTAAACTATGCATATTTACATCGATTTAAGCTACAAGATTTTGTTTATCTAAAAACGAGCAACGAAATTTGGCGATGTTTCGGTTTAAACACTTTGTAAAAAGGCAAAAATAAACATTAATTTATGAACAAAAGTCTGTGGCGGCAACTATTTATCATTTTACTGAAATATGTAATACCACTATATTAACCTTCTAAGTAGGCTTGAATACTTGCTGCTCACTACCGCAAATACTTTTTATTTCGTACACATACTTTTGGGAGTACCTGTGCTGGTGAAGTATATTGCCTACTTCTGGGCGAACGAGTTAGCCAAACGACAAATTTGACATCGAACATAATGTAAAGTAACAATAGTAATTACCTTTAGACCAAGTACAGATAACATAAATATATGTAGGGGTATAATAAAACAAAAATTGATTGATTAATAATATTAATTAAGTCTGTCTAAGTCTCGTAAGAAAATCGATTGTTGTTCAATGCAATATTTGTGGAGTAAAGCTACAGATAAGTGCAACCCCAGGCAACTGAAGTGCACTAATTAAGTTTTCTCACCAAATGTTCCATTGAAGATGGTAAAGTAAGATAAGCTTTCCCAGCAATGGAAAGTACTGACATTACGTCAATCAGAAAAGCGAATGAAACCAATTATAACGCCATCAAATTACACTTCATGCTAATAACAGACAATTACAGAACTGGGGTTTTACTGGCTTAATTCTTGACCAAATTGCCACATGCCGTATGCATCCATCAAAATTATTCAACCGCAGAAGTGCTTCCTCTCTAAACTCTGCTCAAGCAAAAACAATTAAAACTAAGGCAAAAGTAACCGTGGAAGCCAAAAGCCAAAGCTTAAGCAGCTGAAAATGCAAATCATTGGACCAATGTTGATTAGAAAGCAGATGGCGGCGCCTGAAGAAGAAGTCCAGACCCGTCATATAATTAAATAAATACCTCACAATGCTGCAGCGATGGACCATCGCTGAACCTAGCCACAGATTCAATTACCGGCCATCCATAAAAACAAAGCAACAAAAAATTATCAAGAATTATGTTTTGCTTATAAAAAAGGCTGTTTTCTTTTCGAAAGAAGAAGGTGTAAAAATAAACAGTGCGAAAAGCCAGCCAAGTAAACCATTAAAAACGCTCACAAAAAGATGAGTACATTTTTATGTCCATTACCGGAAGAAGTCGGAGCATGGGAGCAATATGCCATCAACTCTATGAGGTTACAGCGAATGCATAAAGCGGATTTGTATATTAAGCATACAAGATCCTTAATATCGTTTAGTGTGCCAACTAATTAGCCAAAGATCTTGAAAAATGCCCGGGGGAAAGAAGCCGCCACAGATGCAGGCCCATATAACCACATGAAAACAGACAGAATGGGCACAGTTGAAAGACAGTTTATAGCATTAGCCCCTTAACAAGACCCAACAACCAAAAAACCCACCAAACTCACAAACACTTAAAAACTTTAATTAGAGTTTAAGGAGCCCGGTACATCTTTCATTAGGCTGGCTATGAAATTCACTGACTTTTAGCCATCTGAACAGCACAGACACCAAAATTGCCAACAGTTAGCCGCAGAAATAATTCATTGTCGCCCATTCCTCCACGTTGTCCTCAATCTCGATCTGAGGTCGGCAATTTTCACTTCAGCATGGGATTCTTGTCCCCAGAAACCGATGCTTTTGGCCCAGTAAAAGTTGAAACATGTATAATAGAAAGTAAGTGAGCTGGTCTATATACAAGTGAATGTTCTCAAATAACCTAAATCATTAGAATGCTTTAGCGTAAGTAACCATTTTTGCTACGCTATGTCAAAATGCATTAAAGTTTCGTATTCGTTAAATATGCTCTTGAGATACTGCAATAAACAAGTAAGTCTACAGTCCTCAAACATCGATTCCCCAAATCATCGATCACAGAAATTCCTGAGTAATAATTATTTTGGCGAAAGTTTCATCACCCATCAAACGCAGCAGGTCGAGTTGACTGACTTGGCTACTGTTGCACAGGTGCCGTCGATAACTAATTATTTCCACTCATCTTTCAGCATCGAAGGAGGCAAAATCTGCTAAGGTGTCTGCATTTTCCATATTTATGAGCCAACATCGTTGACCGACTAACTTCAACTCCCCCGCCCCAAAAAGTTGGGATACCAAGCCCCCGAGCTCAGATTCCCGTCCATTTATTGATTGATTAGCTTTGATTATTGGCCGGACAGCCGATGGCTTAAATTTGCATGCCAAAACGGCTTAGGGAGATATTGGTTGCAGGGTTGTTTCGGTTTATTGGATGCCAGATTTATATGCATCATTAGAAAATGCCAGCACAGGGCTTCTTCTTTCTCACTGCTCGTAACTTTCTTTCGCATCATTAAAATGAACCACAACAAATTGGCCGCAAAGCAAAAAAATAATACCAAGAACTGTCCACAAATATCAAGAGCCCGAAAACAAAGTTGCATGTCTTGCAGGAAAACTGAAGCACCGGCAAAAAAGAAGATCAGCAAAGATCAGGAAATTTTACCACTACATTACATCTTACATTAATGTAAATGAAAAAATACTTAAATTCTACTTGAAAGAAATTTAAATATTAAGAAAAGTTAAGTAAGATATAGAACCTAAGTTAATATATATAAATAAAACCATAGATTACTTTGATTTTGTTGTGCATTTGAAATGCACATGAAAAAGGAAACTGCTTGCGATTGGTAAAATGATATAGTATTTAAAACACATAGATTGCTGTCTGGAAATTCTCAGTGCACCACGAAATTTCTTTCGTGTCCGAAAAATTTCTTCATTTGCGGGTCACTAATTAGACGCGATTTGTTGCTCCAACCTGACATGCAATCTCCCCCAAGAGGAAGGCGCCCAAATGGGATAAGATGGGGGAAGAGGGAAGTTGGAAGTGGGAAGAGTTGGCCCCCTAAATGGCCAACATCTGCATAATTATGCGTTGTTGGTGGAAGGCGCTTATGCAGCTCAATGAATTTAATTGAGCAACATTAAGACCGGAATGGGCTGGGGATTCTGGCTCTTATCAGTTTGGCCTGGGAGAAATGAGAAATGAGAAGAAACAGTAGCGATGAGATGATCTCACTTAAATATAATTATTCTTAATATATATATTTACCGCAGTGCGTACTTTTTGCGGCTATTTCACCGTTTTTTACTTGACATACAGGAAGCACTCAGGTGAAGATTTCACATTTCACCGGTTGCTTAGAAAGTGAAATTTGTGGATTTTAGTTTTCCATTTCTATTTCTGCTTTGCCGCTGTGAGATAATTTGAATGCGATAAGACATTAATCAATGCAATTAGCGATACAATTGCTTATTGATATCCGTTGGCTGAGGATTTTTCGGCTGGACAAATTTCCACAGATCTTAATGGCATTTTAATGGGAGCAGGGTGAAAGTTTATCGATTTATTTTTTGGAAGCCACGCAAGGAAAACCTGTGATATGCAAAAACTAAGAAAAAAAATCGACGTTTCTTAATGGCGAATCCAGACAATGCAATAAACTGCAACAATAAAGCAATAACAGTAACAATAACAATAATTGTAATAGCCAAAGTGCAGTGCCAAGTCATCGCCGATTCAAATGGAGATGGAAATGGTTTTGAAGATGTGGAGATGCAAGTGCAGGCGATGCTGGCGATGCAGGTGAGGTGCGGCTGCAAAACGAAAGCCGAGCCGAAAGATCCAAAGATACAAGATACAAATCATGCATTACAATGGGTAAAGGCAAAGCCAGAGGCATTGAAATTGAAAGTAACACACGACTGCAGCTTGATGATGATTTTCTAATTGCACAAAAGCCAAGATGACTCAAGTGCCTCAACTCCATGCATCTTGGCGCATTTTCCCGAAAGGTGTTAAGTATGCAAATGACGAGCAGCTCTCGAGTTAACATCTCTAACTCAAAAGAAGAAGGAAAAAAATAGGCAGTCATGTTGTAATATTTACAACCAAACACACACATGATCTGTGTGGGCGGGGTCAGCAGCGCGCCTTTTTGGCCCAAAAGCGAGTGGTAAAAGTATTCAGCGATTTTGACCCCACTGCCTCCAGAGCGGCAGCAGATTCGCATCTTTCAGATACTTTTACATGTACTTTCTCTACTTAGACTCTGCCTGGTATCGCACAATTTTTTTGGCTTTTCCCCCTCCGTTTTAGGCCGCACCTAATCGGAATTTTGTGCGCCGGCGTAGAAGAGGAGTATCCGGAGGAGGAGACCCCAAGATCACCGGAGATCAGTGGCAGCGACAACGCTTTGATGTTGTAATTAACTTTCATTAGACTAAGCAAACAGCTCCGAGAATTGCAAACAAAAAATTATCGCAAAATCGTTGGTAGAAACTGAAAGAAATCTCTTCAAATTTGGAACTTCCGTAAGCGAATCTCGCATTTAAGTCTTAAGTTGGGTTTCTTCTTTAGTCCGCTCGTGCTTTTTGGCTCTTTTGGCACTTCCAGGTAGACAAACTAAATTTCACTTTCGCTACACAATATCAACAGCGATTTAAGTGTGTGCTATATTAAAGTATTTACTTGGCCAACAGTACACATAGTGAGCTCCACAAAAGGCAAATAAACTTTAGCTAGAAATACCCTGTAAGTGCAGAAATTGGTTATCGGTTTAGTTATCCTTGTAACCAAGGGTAGTTTCATATAGTTAATAGGAGTAAGTACGTGTATTATTAAGTAAGAAATGTGATTTCTTTTTAATTTTAACCATCAAGCCTATACTTTAAACATCATATCATCACATATGAAAGAACCGATTAAAATGTGTATGACTCAAATACTCTTATTTGAGTAGGGATTCTTATTTGAGTACACTACCTTAAATGCTACGTGTACCAAATAAGATAAGCGTTGATTAAAGTAAGAGGTATCTTCCAGTCGAAGCTTGATTAATCTACCTATTTCCCTCCCAACTTCTATTTACCTTTTTTCAACTATTTCTTTTGGTCATGCGAATTCGTTTCCAAGGCGCGTTGATTGTTTTTCTTCCCCCACAGCCGCCCACCGCCCACCTATCGACCCAAACCCTTGCCGAAAAAGTCGGGAAAAAAAATTGGAAAAAAATCCATGGGAAAGCCGC